TATTTAAGTTGTTACGTTCTTTTTTGTCGTCTGTTGCTCACTCTTCCTGAAAACAATCACCTCCTTGAGATTAGTTTCAAAACTTACTCTATAGGGAATTAGAGTAAATCTGCTCATGTCTAAATGCCCAATGATTATAATTGAGCTAGATAATTAAGATTACAATCCATACTCGATTCGTAAAAGTCTATTAACTGAGTTTAAGCACATGACATGGCCGAGTTTCTTCCACTTTGCGGTTTGAGATGAGTATTGAATTGACAAACTTGTAGTACACATAAGTTTGACTGCCGATATAAACCTGGACACCATGTGCACATATTTCTGCCAAAGCAATTCCAATTCAACAGAGAAAGAGAAATGTGTAGAATTTTAGCCTTTGATATGATTGATGTTCACCCATCAAAAAACATTTGGAAGAGATATTGCTACTGCTCAGGCACTGGGCGAATGATCCACAAGCTACGCATGAGTAGAGTAAATACATGGCACTTGAATTGTATGCTAAGGAAGCAATTTACACTTCGTTGGACGCATGACTTAATGAACCAGTTGTTCAAAAAAACTCAACATGCATCCAACATATTCACCGAGGTTTCAAAGTAATCCTATTTGCGGCCATTTGTAAAACCTTTCTCTTTCTATTGTCATGGTACTTTTTGTGCAGCACAAAACTCAACGTAGAGTCATCCTGTTGATCGGCAGCACACACGTCTGTGGAATCTGCAAGTCCCTGGTCAAAGAGAGACCGATAATTCAATACTGATGTTGTCTGATGTTTGATAATTGGTCCACAGTATTGAACATGATAGTCTAAAGTAAAGCCCCGAGGAGTCACTTGACATCAATTTGTTCCGCATCGCTCCCTCAAGCATTCCGGCGTCCTTTGAAACATGTTTGCACATTATGTATGATACTGTGAAAGACAAGGCAATCGATTTCCACTTGTCATCACTACTCTCAAAAATGCGTCCGCCGCCAGATTTTTGTCATTGTCAAAAATCTATCACTGTCAGATTTATGTCACAATCACCGACAAGAAAAACTATCATTCGGCAAAAAATTGTCATTGTCAAAAAATCAAAACAAAAAAACGTTAGTGTTAATTTTTTTCAACTCGTCTCAAAAAAGTTTGTTTTTTATTCGAGACCATACAAACCTGCCACACACATTATCACAAAACGCAACCAACTCTAACATCATTTTTAAGTCCAAAACACGCAAGATAATCATAGCCAGACAGATAAATAGACAAGTACGAGACACAATCAGTGCTAGTCAGACAATATACACGGATCGAGGTTCAATGTCGTTCATCCTTCTAAGAGCTACGTTCAGAGAGAGCTCACACGCGTGAGAGAGTGTGTATTAAGAAGTTCTCTTAGTGATACACAAACCCTGGGTATAAATTTCCCAGCATCATCGACCCTCCTAGTTATATATAGCTAAGTTTTGTGGTAACTCCTCAAGCACAATTAACCTCAACATTACTATGCAGGTTTTGCATGAGAAGCATAGGTAGAGTTTGCTAGTGGTTTTTCCAGTTATCTCTTTATATTAATATTCTTCCATGTTTTGATTACAGCTTAGTATTAGGTTTCTTCCTAGATTTTACCACAAAATAATTATATAGATCATTGAGGTTATAGTTTCTTCAACATAAGATAAGGAGGAGATTGTTGAGGTCAACCTCAACAATCAGAACAAATTTTTGTTCTAGGTTAACCTTTGTATATAACTAGTAACCGCCTCGACTTGGGATATGAAATCAAGTTACTTTTGTAACGGTATCACTTCATTATACAATTTTTTGCCTTCCTATCCATGGAGGTAGTTCCCATTGATGTACCATGATATATCATGTGTGTGTATGTTGTCATTATGTGTGGGTGAATTTTTGGTTTTTCTATTTAACTTGTTCCCAATTTTATGTACTAACAAGTTAATCCTAATAGCTTTTGACACAATGATAAGCTAAATATATGCTTAAAAATTTAACATTTAAAAACTTGAAAGATATATTTCACAATAAACTTAAGCTAAAATAGATATTTTATGAATAAGAGTAAATTTTCAAATAAAATACATCAAAATCGGATGAAAAAATTGTGAGCTTCTCAATACAAGTGAAATGAAAATTTTTAAATTTCTATTTACAGTGAATTTAGTCTAAGTAAATAAAAATATTTTTAATTTTGGAAGATAAATACTGAAAAAAATAGAAAATTAAACATAATTGTTTAAATCATATAATTATGTTGATTTTTTTTGAAATAATTGAATAAATATTTAACATTTTACATTTTAAGCAATGTAAAAGAAATTATTAAATTTGACATAAATTGATTTTATTATGATTTCTCATAAGTTCAATGAGTTTATAATATTGAGATGGCATGTCTATATTTTTTCAAAGTATATATGTATCATGATGAATGACTAAAAAAATATGATGACAATCTGTAAAGAACAAGGATGTCTTTATTGAAAGTACATGATATCAAATGGTATGAAACTTTTGAAAACTTCATAGACTAGAGATATTTGTTTGATGGAACCCCATCAAGAACATATTTGCTTGATAAGACCCATCAAGTTTCGTTTTACCCGATGGGACCTCAACGATGGCACACGTCAGACTATTCTAGTATGAACAGACGGTGAGAGCCTTGCTTCACGATCGCGACGACATCAACGGGAGCTCCGACGAGCCGCAGCGAGTTGCAATTTGCGGTGCAGAAATTCGTGGAAGAAGTTCGGAGACTCATACAAAGAGAGGCGGTGGTAGAATAGTACTGAGTGTGACAAAGGAGAGGAGAGGGGGAGGAAAAGGGAGGGAGGTTGGGGAATAGCATTCGTCAAGGGAGAAGGTCCAAATCGACCATGCGCCGCGGATGGAGTGTCGAGGAGTGACGAGTCGTCGATGAACCTCAGCGGGCGTCGCCGATGGTAATTCGTAATCTCATGTTCATGGTAACTGAGAAGAGAGAGGAAATTTATGCTAGAGCGTGCATTTTCAGTTCGTCTCGCATCAATCAGTCGGTGAGGTGGAAGTGGCTCTCGCTCGGAGTGACACGCGAGAGAATCGTTGGTCGAAGCATTGGTCGGTAGATACCGGAGAGAGCCGCAGCTTGGATAGTGAAAAACAAGAACATATTTTTATAAGAACACGTATTAAAATATATTGTTACAAGAACACATTTTTAAAAGAACAAATACAAGAACATATTCATATTAGAACATTTACTAGAGCTCATCGACGGCACACCGTCCGTGGGGTACCATCGGAATAAACGAAATTTGATGGGTCCCATCAAGCAAATATCTCTCATGGACTATGAAATTTGAAAGTATTTTGTTTTGACAAATTTGCTAATGACCGTTCACATAAATTTAAAAATTTATACAGAGCTGATTGATATTGGTTTTCAAAGATTACCATTTATATATTTTTAATTTTTTTTTTATCTAATCTACATGATAAGAAAGCATAAAAGATATCAAAGATCAGAATCTTTGTACTTTTTTTCTATTTAGTTTGACAATGTAAACTAAAATAAATCTAATAATAAAAAATAAAATAATAATTGTCTTGCTTTTGATTAATTATTTAGAATAAATTTTGGGAGGAGGGAAAATTTACTCAAAAAAATTCATCCTCTATGTTGCAAACATGATCAAGCAATTAGTGATTCTTATATCTTATTATTTTGGTGCTCTTATTTATTCAGTGTTATTTAAAGTCAAAATGATCAATTTTATCTTATGTAGAATTTTTTAAAAATCAGATATATCTTATAGTGAATTCTTGACATGTTTTAAATTTTATTATTCGAATTTTTTTTCTTCTGATTTTATTGAAATAATAATTGATATATACATATAAACATCTATATTATCTAATGATTTCAGTCATAGAATCTTTTTTAAATTCAATTAAAAAATAAATTTCTAAATAAATTAGATATTTATTAAAATATTGTATATTAAAAAAATTTTATTTCAATTAATTTTATAGTCTACATGTCTTGAATTTATGAAAAAATTGAATATTTTAGAATTTTATTAAACTATCCAATTTACATGATTGATATTAAGAATTAGTGGAATTGTTGTTTATCAGTTTTTAATATTTATTTATTTATTTATAACTTAGTAGAACTGTTTGATCATATAACACAATTTGACGTGTGTTCATGAACTTTCAACTCCTTTGTCATATCCTTGAATGTTGTTATCATTTCGTGAATATCTGAAAATGAGATTTTTTTTCAATTTTAATTATATTCAATTTCAATTTTATCAAGTGCATATACGAACAGATGGTATTCACATAAAATTGTTGTGTAAATTTAGTGAGCATAGAAGTCATACTTATGATACATGCAATTGTTGCCTATGAACGTAAACTGTATTGTAAAATTGAAATTACTGTAAAGATCTTGCGACATATAGAGTTGTTTGCACACCTTCTACATTTGTTTGTAATTGAAATTCCACTAGCGTGCACTCCTCTTGGGCTTGGATTATGTACAAAGGGCAGAGAATTTTACTCAAAGAAAGTTTTGGTAGAGAAAGAAAGAGAAACTCAAAACGACTAGGGTGGCAAATGAACAACATTGTGAGAAAGTAGTAAATATTCTCGAAGGAAAAAAATCACCATAACCAGGGAGCTCCACCGAATTGCCACATGGTAAACAAGATGGTCCGCGGACAAGAAATATCATGTCTGTAGCTCCATATGTGGAATGCTACCGTAGCATCAGCATAACTGCAAGCCTACTAGCACCAAGCGTAGGAGGGAATCCTCGAGCAACCGCGCTGACACGGTATCGGTTTCGCGCGCAGTCTGGAAGCCGTTCCTTGCACGGTCGCCAAGACGTGGGCGCCTCACCTGGCCCGCGATCCGCGAGCCCCACCCCGAACCCGGCCCGCGCCGGAGCGGAGGGTGCAGAGTGAGAGGAGAGAAAGAGAAGGCCGGGCGCCTGCACTCCTTGTCTCTTCTCTCGCTCTCTCTCTCTCTCTCTCTCCCTCCCACTCTCTCCTCTCTCTCGCGCAGAGCGGAGCCTGAGTTCGTGTGTATCTGTCCGTCCGTCTGTTTGTCTTTCCTTCCTTCCTTCCTTGAGCCCCAGCCAGGCCCCAGCCCCGCCCAGGCCAGAGCGCCGCTTCGACGCTTGTCTTCTCTTTGGTGCTTCGACGCTTGTCTTCTCTTTCGTGCGTCGGTGGGTACGTTGCTTGTGCTTTCGGTGCTGGTGCTGCTGGGATTGCTTTGGTTACGCTTTGCCTGGTGATTGCGATCAATCGATTGCGTGAGGGATCGAAGATCGGCGCTGGTGGGGGCGGGGGTGGATGATTTGGGAGTGCTGAGCGGGTCGGGGTGGGGCTGGTTGATCTTGGCAGGGGCGGAGCAGTTGGTGGTGGCCGGTGATTGTGTAGAGAGCGCGAGCCAAGATGGGGCTCACGTTCACCAAGTTGTTTCAGCGTCTCTTCTCTAAGAAGGAGATGCGAATCTTGATGGTGGGTCTCGATGCGGCTGGTAAGACGACCATTTTGTATAAGTTGAAGCTTGGCGAGATCGTGACGACCATTCCTACAATCGGTGAGTTTCTTGCTTTGTTTTGTTGGGTGCTGAGGTCGCGTTTGTGGTTGGGGTTTTGGTTGGTTTGCTAGCTAGCTAGCTCATGGATTAATTGATCTTCCGATTGAAACCCTTGGATGTGGATGAGAAGTTGATGGTCTTAGGCATAGGCTCTGCGTTTGTCTCACATCTGTTCTCTTCTCTGCACCCGCAGGATTCAATGTCGAGACTGTAGAGTACAAGAACATTAGTTTCACTGTGTGGGATGTAGGAGGTCAGGACAAGGTAAGCTACGCATCTCCATTTTCCAATAAGTCGGATCTGGTTGTCGTTCGGAGCTTGCACCGATTTGGAAAGATGTGCCTAGAAGTATCTTTTGTAGGTCATGAATTAGGTGTACACGGTTTCGTGTCTTGAGGATTTATTGCTAACCCGTCTTGGAATGGAGTAATGCAGATCCGCCCTCTGTGGAGGCACTATTTCCAGAACACGCAGGGTTTGATCTTCGTGGTGGACAGTAACGATAGAGATCGTATTGTTGAGGCCCGTGATGAGTTGCATAGAATGTTGAATGAGGTATGCCGATCCTACCGTTCTGCCTCTCCCAGTTTTTTGTTTGAATTTTCTTCCGTACGTATCTTGATACCTGGCCAGAATCTAGGCTTTCAATTTCCCAGATCCGAGCCTTCATCGCAGCCAGGATAGCATGAAAGTTGCTGTTGGAAATCTGATCTCTTCAGTAGAGCCTTTCATACGTACACGATTAAAGAAGTCTGTAAGCTGCACTTCCAAGCGGTTAACAAGTACTCATCTATAGTGTTGCCAACTGGCCCTACATGTCAGTTCCGTGCCAACATTATGTATCACATCAGAACTTGCGATTTATCCTCGGGATGATTTACGGTTCTTCTCTCTATTTCTTTAATATAGATAAGTTTCACATTCTTGTCACTGGTCTCGAGATTAGGCTTGCTCACCGTGAAAGGTTGCATGGCCGTTTGGTGAAAACAAGAATTGTGAGGCTTCGCTTGCTCACATTTTCGTTTTAGTTTCCTTCCTGTGTGTTATCCCCTAGAGCTTTCAATTAAGTTCGATAAGGTGTCCGGTCTTCATGGGCATCGACCGTCAGCGGTTGTAAAGTAGGATGGATGAGAGCACATTATCATACTGACACGAGGAACCTATGCAGGATGAACTTCGCGATGCCGTATTGTTGGTATTTGCCAACAAACAGGATTTGCCGAACGCCATGAATGCGGCGGAGATTACCGACAAATTGGGGCTTCACTCTTTGCGCCAGCGCCACTGGTAGGAATCTTTCTTGTAGTCTGGGTGTGCAGATCTTCTGATGTTTTGTACCGTTCATTTGACGACCAAGGTTTGCCATGTGTCTTGGCTAGACTAACACAGGATTATATTTCGTAAAAATGATATGCTAACAGATTTTATTATTACCGGTGGCAGGTATATCCAGAGTACATGTGCTACTTCAGGAGAGGGTTTGTACGAGGGTCTTGACTGGCTGTCAAGCAACATCGCAAACAAGGTAGATGTTTTCAATGTTTTGCAAGTGTGCATTATTCGCTGTAGAATGTATGGTTAGAAGTTGTTCTGCATATTCTAGACTTGAAGCATGTATGAAGACATGGTCCAAATCTTCTGATCGGATCATTTGCATGTTGAAGCCTGGGCCATCTACGTCCAAGTAGTAGGACGGATTGAATTCTGCATATAAAGTGCCCGGGCTCTTCACAAGAAAGTGGTGGTCTTCTTGAGGTGACGCTTCTCGTCGTGAATGGATCTTACTTAGCCATCTGCCGAAGCAAGTCATAACCCAGAGGACGTGGTGAATACCGGGCCACAGGCAGATCGATAATGGTTTTGCCTTGGTTTTGAGTTTGGAGCCTGGCTGAGGAGTGTCTTATTTTTTTGCTGTCTATTTTATGCAGGCTTGATTCAGTACGGCTTAGACACTAGGTGGAAAGCCACAAGGTAGCGCAGACAGTGTTAGTCTCGCGGCAGTGGGATTTCTGTGGTGTTGGAGGGCTCGTCAAGCTGCAGCTGGCGTGACTGGGGTTCTTTATAATATGGATGATAAACAGTCGCAGATTCTCCTAAGATTTCGTTGAGTGAAGGGCAAGTTTAGATCAACGAAGTCTGCAGAATTCTTTTTCTGAACTTTCTCTCTTTCGACAACCTAAGTCATTGCTTGCTATCCTCTGACTCCGGTGGTAGGAGAAACGTTAAAATCTTGAAGAGGTGTTCAAGATAGGATTGACAGATAGGCATGATAGATTTTGTTGCGAAAGTTTTCCGAACTCGTAGTTTTTGAGTGTTTTCCTTCCTACAACAATCAAGAGGTTGTTGGGACCTTATTGCTCTACTCGTGTACAAGTGCAAGATATTCTTTATCTATGTCTGTACCCAAGTCATGTAGAAATGTTGTTGAGCACTTCAATCTATGATACCACAATCGATACTTTCCATCCAAGAGTTTCTTCTTGCCTTTCACGGAGGCTATGTCTATTAGAGATTTTATTAGCCAGAGTGAATTTGGACCTTTTCTTTCCTTCAGTCGCCGTTTACTGCTAGTATGACTTGACACGATCGAATGACCGAGGTGAGGATGTCCTGGTCATGTTCGTTTCTCGTCTCACGCATGATTGTTGAAGAATTCCCCAATCGTTGTTTTCTAACTTTGGTTACTCTGCGATGAAAAATTGACATTGGCTAAGTCTATGGCACTGTGGCGTGGATTGTGCACAAACTTTGTGGGCGTTTAGCCTCCTTCGAGGTTAAGCTCGAGAGGAGTTGAGATGTCTGATACGGTCTGCGTGGATATGAAGTTCGATCTGGACCTACGTTTCTCTCGGATTTGAATGACACACTCATTCGGTATGTTGTTGCGATCGTAGAGCAATGTAAAGCTTATCTGTTTCCACGACTGGAGTCATTGCATCTGAAATTGGCTCTGGGAGATGTATTTATTGTAGACACTTGGACCCCATACACAGCACGGCTGGGCTGATGTTGGAGTTCTCTCCCATATTTTCTTATTATGTAGAACAGTCTCACCTTTTTCTTTATGACGGACGCCGAATTTCCGTTGAAGTTCCTTTCAAGTCAACGTCTAGACGATAGACGATGTTGCAATTCAAAAAAATGACCTTGAGCTTGCGGCGGATGACGCCCATCTGTGCTTAGCTTTGCGAATATTCAACAACTAGACATTACTGTACGAACTTCCAGATCCACGTCTACTGCACTAGCATCCACTAGCATATGCAGATTTTTTTACGTACGAATAGATAAATTTTACAATCAAAAATTCTCAAACAACTATATGAGCGATCCATTTGTAATTAAGCCAAACATGAATAGATAAGTTGTACAATAAAAAATTCTCGAACAACTATGTGAGTCATCTATTTGTGATTCAATTCAAACATGAGTAAATAAACTTTACAATCAAAAATTCTCGAACAATTATATAAATCATCTATTTGTGATTCAATTCAAACATGAATAGATAAATTCTACAATCAAAAATTCTCGAACAACTATATGAGACATCCATTTGTGATTCAGTTCAAACATGAATAGATAAGTTGTACAATCACAATTCTCAAACAATTATATGAGACATCTATTTGTGATTCAGTTCAAACATGAATAGATAAGTTGTACAATCACAATTCTCAAACAACTATATGAGACATCCATTTGTGATTCAGTTCAAACATGAATAGATAAGTTCTACAATCAAAAATTCTCAAACAACTATATAAACCATCTACTTGTGATTTAATTTAAATGTTATCAAGAAGTTAATTGCGCTAGAAGTAGAAAGATTTATCAAATACACTAAAATATAAAAATTTCTTTCCAAAATTTATATGTTAAAAGACATCGGCTCTATACACTTTGCACAACTTGAAGACTACTTGAGTGAGATTCTAGAAAACAACATTTTGTTACAGAAAATAAATCGCGATGAGATGACAAATGATCTACTTCTCTTTGGATTAGCTCCAAAATTCTTGAAAAATATATTTCTTGTTATTATTCGTACGTAAATATTTCATCTTGTATCCAATTTATTTTTCAACTTAATAGTTTTAACTTTTAAAAGTTGTAAACACATAACATTTGTATACAAATAATAAAATTCATTAAAATCTTGAATATCATCAATAAAAAGTTCATAGTAAAATTTTGGTAGAAATTCATCGCACATCGCTATGTATATACTCAAGTAACTTCATGGATTTGTGATTTTCAACACCAAAGACTTGCCTATGATGGTTACTCATAACAAAATATTCAAAAACTCAAAGTCAACTTACATATGCCAAGTAACAATTATCTATTGCCTAAGAAAAATCTATTACTTATGAGTTTCCGCCTAAAATGGCACACATGAAACATCTTAACTCAAAATTTAGTATAGTTGATTCTATCACAAATGATTATGCACTCTAGAAAATATAGATTACGGATATTATAATATAGTATCTAAAGAGAGATATATATCTATCTATAGATATAGTAAGAGTCATTGACAAACAATGAATTATCATCAAATATCTAGGTCAATAGATTGGTGGCATATAAAAATTGCGGACATAGTTCCAAGCGTGAATAGAGAGTGATTACCATCTTGGGCGTTAGACGGAGATCAATAACGTGAAATGAATAAGGATATGGCAAGAGATTGTAAAGGTCGAAAGAGGCAAGGTGTCTCTAGAAAACAATATGGAAGAATTGGTGGTTGGAAAAGGGAAGGCAGTGAACGCAAAAGAGATGTCAAGAGAGGGAGCTCAACCTAGAGAAAGGGAGAACCAGTCACCAGCCCAAGAAGCTATATGTAGAGTTCACTGAAGAATTGTGGATAGTAAAGGAAACAATGGATCCGACGAGGACGGGGGGTCAAGTTTAGTCACAATTCGTTTATTAGTTCCAAATAATCAGATTGTCTACTTGCTAGGTAAGGATGAAAAGATTCTCAAACAAATGCGCAATGAAACTGGTGCTCAGATTTGAATACTACCTAAAAAACAACTAATGGATTGCGCCTTGCATTCTAACGAGCATGTTCAGATCTTTGATGAACTCTCTGTTGTGAAGAAATCATTGCACGCTATATCCACTTGGTTGAAGGAGAACCCTCCAGAAAGTGTCCAGGAGAAATGGGGGTGCAACGCATTGATCGGAAATATATATTTTGGGAGGTGGTATATTAGCTGGAGACACCTTCCTACTCCCAAGAAACACACTCCTTGTTCAGTGTGGACCCCTTATAGGACTCTGACCATCGCTTTCAAGATTGGATGACAGAGGTTCTCTTTCAACTCTTAAGATTTACCAGTGCTTCCAAACTCTGGTGCCTCACATCTAGGTCGTCATCCTGCAGTGGGCTAAGAGTTGGTTTTTTGCCTCTTGTTTCCGAACTACAATAGAATCTGTTTAAATTCATACTGTCTAACTTAATAACCTGTGATATTTAATATATACAGTATAGTCCCAAGTCGGCCAATGTATTTATTAATAAACCTCTAAAATACGTGATGTAATAATTAATATTCCACAGGCAGTCCCAAAACTTTTTTATATTAATAATCATTGTAGAGAAATAAACGGTGAAGAGAAATGATGTGGGTTGCGAGGGGCGGAGACCACAACTGAGGTGGATGGATAAGAAGAACATGTGTCACGGAACTCCTGACCTGATTGTCCCGACTCGGATTATTTCTCGCGGCAGCCTTGCCAAGAACGACAGAACATCGAAGTGCATTTGTTCACGTAGGAGCACTCTCTCGTCTTCCCTTCTCCTCCCTTCAAGAAACAATAACTTCAAAAATGCTTTGTGTTCTCGACACGCATGATTTGTTTTCCTCTGGAGTGCAACTTACGGGTTTGACGACTGCGCTAGACATTAGCTTTCCATAAAGAACCAGTGACTCTAGTCAATGTACAAATAAGAATCCCACCACAAATGATGCGAACATAGAACTTCTCTTTATTAATAAACTGTCTAAATTAATATAGAACCGCCAGTACCGACAGTATTAACTTAGATAGGTTATACTGTAGAAAATTGGAAGCGTTTTTGATAAGAGAGGGAGTATGATCCGCAATATTTGAAAGTACACAGGTGCGTGTATGAATGTTGCTGATCCAATTTCAAGCTCAGACGAATGTGTTATAATTAATTTTGCTAACAAAATTAAGAGATCGTCGTGAGAAATGATGAGGAGTTGAGCAAGCTGCTAGCCACTGTGACAATCACCAATGGTGATATTCTTGCAAATTTCCACTCTATGTTGCTATCCAAGAAATCAGAAAAAACTGATGATCCAAACAACTTAATCTAGTCGCATTAGGGCGAGAAATGACGAGCCAAGAGCTAATATGCACCAGTGTTGCTTCAAAAATATTTTGATGCAACACTAGTGGTATTAAACTCATGGAAGTTCATAAATTACAGTAACTTCCCACTTAAGTACAAGGATCAACATTTTCAACCAATTCATTATGAATTTCAGGGATTTTAACATTTTCAAAAATTTCACTGTAAATTTCATATTCGAGACTAGACTACTACCTCATTCTATGCTCTGGGGAAGTGAAGTCAAGCGCGAGAAGTCTAACCATCAAGTGCGGGATTGGGAAAAGGCCGAGATGCAAATATCTCGTTCCAATAATCTAGTCTTTTATTTCTTCGTATCATGACATATCTAGCGCCAAAATGATTATGTGACACCCGGGGAAAATGGGAGTATCATATGGTGCATGATACACGTATTATTAAATGGGGGTGGGAGGGGTTAAACGGGAAGGAAGCGCTTGAAAATAGGCAAAAAAACCAAAAAATTAGTGGCGCGATGCCAAAGATTCAAAAAAGTCTTTGGCACTCGCGATAGGAGGGGCTAAATTCATTATTAATTTCATATTCACCCACTAAATTTGTTTGAATTTTATTTTTTCATTTTTGAAATGATGTCATATCGTACATTTTTTGTACATTGGAACTCTACACAAATGATCTGGAAATGAAAACGTTAAATACGAATCAAAAATTTAGTATTCAAAGTGAGTCCTTAAGTGGAAGACTATTGTAATGATAAGGTTGTTTAGGGTTTGTAAGATATAGGTCCCAAGGTTATGATGATGAGATGTTTAAGAGACTGGAAATTTAAGTCGTTGGACACCAGTCTAAAGGAAGCATGGATAACTTCAGCCGAGGCTGGCGGATTTGATGAGGGGCGAGTGCCGGCAGTACAGTACAGTCTGTGGAAAGGCTGAGAGATTGATGAAGACGGTGGACGATGATTGGGAGTAGGGGGAGGGGGTGTCGTTTAGCTAGAAGAGAAGCAGAACAGGGAGTGCAATGAAATGCAGCAGTCGCTGTCTTTCGATTTGCCGAGAGTTTGCGTTCCGTCTTCGTGTGAGGCGCGACAATGGCAATTATGAATGTTTATGGTAGAT